CTAAGTTGTACAATTTGTGCAACTGACTTGTTAAAGATACCTTTTTCTGAATTGGTAAAATATGTGATAAAAACATCACTGATAACGTAAAACTGCATATAAAATAAAACATTTAGGTAAAGCTCAAATATAACACAATCACCCTTTTTAAAAGAAAGTATTTGTCACGTTTTCTTTAATGCACTTGACACTGTTATAGTATGATTGTAATGACATCCAGGAAAGAAACTTGCTTTCAAGTCCAACAGCCCTTCTCTGAATTTCTGGCCAGTTCCAGTTCCTATTCCCCACTTTTTCTAAACTCTTCATTGGCTCCATGACTGAACTTACTTCCTAACACACAGAAACTAGACCATTGGGTATGAACTCCCTTAGCCTTCTGCCTCCAGGCCCCCACCACTCCTGCACTGCACAGCCGTCCTCTTCCCCTTCCCCTTGGCCCTGCCAACACAGGGAAGGGGAAGAGTTGAGTTTTCTTTTATTCAAAACTAATCCCTCTGCCCTGGCTCCCATCTCCATTGGTTGCCCTCAGGAACCTTACTCCATGGGTTACCTCCTCTTTCTCAGGAATCTTCAATCAGCCATTTCCATCTCTTCCACTGTTTCCCTCCCACCTCACTTCCAAACCTGTTCTGCTACTTCTCTTCCCCCTGTTAATGCCATCTTCCCCCTAAGAGTTAGCCCTCGTTCTTCCTCTCTCCTTTGCCTCCGATTCAGTTAGTCACCAAGCGCTGTTGATTCTGCCCCATATTCTCCATCAGTACACTCTGAGTTCAGATCCGTGTCATCTGTTACCTGGACTACTGCTGTAGCACCCTCGTCTGTCTTCCTCCAGCCTTGTCCCCTCGACTGTGTCACTTTCCTTAAAAATCTTCAGTGGCCCTGCATTGCTGACTGAACAAAGTATACATTTGTAGACGTGGAAGAGGCCCTGTCTGCCTCTCAACTCCTGCCACGCCGGTCATTAGGGTCACCTAATGCACCCCGCTCCAACACGCCTACCCCCATTCAGGCCTGTTCTGCTCACCTGGCTGACCCTGCTCATCCTGGAAGCTGCAGCTCACACACAATACCCGAGCAGTGCCCACCCCAGCTACCCTCACACTTTGCAGACACTTTCAGAAGAGGCTTTTCACATTATATTTAACAGGAGAAACCTACGGTGAATTCCTTGAGCCAATATTTGGTTTAATCTTTGTATATGTCATCACCTAATAACTGTTTATGAATGAATAAAAATAATTAATGAGTGATGTCTATTTGTTTTGATGACCTCTAGGGGAATAAAAAGACAAAAAGACTACAATACTCCATCTTTACATATACAGTCCAGCGTCATGAAAGTCACAAAACAAACAAAATTTAAGAATAACAAATTTTAGATACAAAAATTCAAAAGGGAATCCAGTTAAATCCTGTTATATAAATACAAGTTTAGTAAGCTTCCAGGGCTTCAAGGCCTACTTCTAGAACCATTTCCTGGAGAGCTACATAACCTGCCTTACAAACAGTTTAAAAAAACGAAAGTAAAAACACCACCACCACTAAAACCAGCCCCCAAGATGCCTTTACAAAAACCTGTCCAAGAAGGAAATGTATAAAGAACAATTTCCTGAAGATTTACTTTCTGAGATACGTGTGTGATCCTCTGATTAGAGAACATTGGGCCGCTCGGACAGTGAAACCCTTCCTTCAGCATATGTAATATGAAGAAATGCCCCAAGGTTTTCAAAAGGCCACATTCATTACTACTTTGTGAAGGTGAGGAAGGGAATTGGTTCTGTCACAACATCTCAATACCCAGTTGTGTTTGCCAAGAGCCCTTCTCTGTTTCAGTGGTTTACATACCAGTAGAACTTTAACACCCTTTATCATGAGTAACTGGCAGGTACAAAACCAGACTTCCTCCACACTTCTAATCCAATTTATTAACCTTACCAAGTTAAGTAAAACTGGATTATCCTGAGACTTCCCCTAAAAATAACTTCACAATTCTCTAGCTATTTCATGATTATATAACTTAAAATATGAGTCAGTGCTATCTATTTCACTCATTCGCCTCAGATTAAAAGCAAGATTACATACTTTATCCAGTTTTATTCACTCAGAGGAACACAGAAGAAAATAAAGACATCACAGACTATCTGAAAGTTGATCTTGAGCTCGGCTTCAGGAACTCCAGGAAATGCTTTCAGTTTACAGGCTGTGAACATCATTAACAATCCAGAAGCAACTGTATCTGCATTCCTGACCCTTTTCCATAAAAGACATAGAAGGGATTATGGCTGCCTTTTCAAAATCAACACAACATTTTGTACTTGAGCTTACTTGGCAGTGATCGGAGTCACAAGCACATACCTGCTTGGAATGAACCCTGGGTTATTCACTGCTACCATATATGGATATTTTGGCTAGTAGTAGTATTTCGAATTCTGATATACCATATTTCATTGATTCTACTATATGCTTTTTTTTTCATTTTAACTTCTCTGAAATTGGGATTAAGCTTATAATCAGTGGCATGTCATAAATTAATTGGCATGGTTTTTCTAAATGGAATATATGTATCTTACATTCAGGGTAAGTCTTATGTTCAGTAGCCTCTTAAGTTTGAAGTACGTTTATTTATTTATTTATTTATTTATATATATATATATATATATATATATATATATATATATATATAAAACCACTTACGAATATACAAATAAGACCTAATTAAACTTAAAAGCTTTTGCACAGCAAAGGAACCATAAACAAAATGAAAAGACAACCTACAGAATGGGAGAAAATATTTGCCAACTATGTGACCGACAAAATATACAAACAGCTCGTATAGCTCAATATCAAACAAACTATCCAATCAGAAAATGGGCAGAAGACCTAAATAGACATTTCTCCAAAGAAGACATACAGATAGCCAAAAGGCATATGAAAAGATGCTCAACATTGCTAATTACTAGAGAAATGCAAATCAGAACTACAGTGAGGTATCACCTCACACCGGTCAGAATGGCCATCATTAAAAAGTCCACAAACAATAAATGCTGGAGATGGTGTGGAGAAAAGGAAACCCTCCTGTACTGTTGGTGGGAATGTAAATTGGTGCAGCCACTATAGAGAAGAGTATGGTGGTTCCCTAAAAATCTAAAAATAGAACTACCATATGATCCAGCAATCCCACTCCTTGGCGTATATCTGAAGAAAACCATAATTCGGAAAGATACAAGAACCCCAAAGTTCATTGCAGCACTATTTACAATAGCCAAAACATGGAAGCAACCTAAATGTCCATCAGCAGATGAATGGATAAAGAAGACATACACATACACACACACACACACACACACACACACACACGTGATGGAATACTACTAAGCCATAAAGAATGAAATAATGCCACTTGCAGTAACATGGATGAACCTAGAGATTATCATACTGAGTGAAGTAAGCCAGACAGAGAAACACAAATACCATATGATATCGTTTATATGTGGAATCTAAAAAGAAGGAAAAGACACAGATGAACTTATTTCCAAAACAGAATGTTTACCAAAGAGGAAAGGGGAAAGGGGGAGGGATAAATTAGGAGGCTGGGATTAACATATACACACTACTGTGTATAAAATAGATAACCAACCAACAAACAAAAAATCACTTATATAAATAGAACAGTAGTAAAAATGACGGTCTTAGCTGTGAATTTCATTATTTGCCATAGCTGTTTTGGCAGATATTTATGTTGAAATCAAATCGTCACACTTTGTGATTTTCACTCTCTTGTATTACTGTTTTCTGATGGAGGAAATCATATATATGTAAGAAATTATCTCAAGCAAATGCAATTTTATACAGATCAGTAACTTCCTTGTTCCCTGTCCCTCCCTTTTCTTTTGACTTCTTTTTTTTTTTTTTTTGCGGTACGCGGGCCTCTCACTGTTGTGGCCTCTCCCGTTGTGGAGCACAGGCTCCGGACGCGCAGGCTCCGCGGCCATGGCTCATGGGCCCAGCCGCTCCGCGGCACTGTGGGATCTTCCCGGACCGGGGCACGAACCCGCATCCCCTGCATCGGCAGGTGGACTCTCAACCACTGCGCCACCAGGGAAGCCCTGACTTATTTCTTGAGTACATTTTTAGCCAATATTTGCTCAGAAGTCTTAAAGTGTTACTGATAATATTCAAGATATTTTTTCTTTTATTCTTTAATGTTTGGGGTTTGGATTTATTGCCTCTCTATTCTACCAATATTTTTTCATTTAGGTTAAGCTAGAATGGCTTCTCTTTCCTATCCATAAAGTCTATAGGTATCTTGGCATATGAATCCTTCTTCTTTGGAGGTTCCTTTCTTAGGGATAAAAGAATCAAATGCAGTAAAGCCTTTATGAGCTGGAAAGATGAGTGAATAATTACTGTATTCAAACAGGGTTTCTGATCAACTGTAGCTTCTGCAGTTTCTAAAATATATTCATTTTCTTTTGCTAACATAGTATCAAATGGTTCTGAACAGATATTAGCCCTTTTTGATGATTCTGTTGTAACCAGCCACTAAATACCACCTTCACCACCCGTGGCCCTGACTGTGGTCACAGAGGACAGGAGATGGATCATCTGACAAAATCCTTATAGACAGATTCTGTCTGCATCACTCCTCATCCCCATGCATGCCGCAGTGCTCAGAATATGCCCGTACTTGTATAGCGCATAGATGAGACTGCTTCCAGCTGGAGGGGACCAGTTGGAAAATTCCACTGTAGAAATTGTTTTCAAAAGTAAATAGCAGAATATTGGTTTGATTTATCACCATTTCTAAAACAAAGAGGAAATCAAGCTCTGAAGGAAATTGTAACTGCTTGGCAGTTCCACTCAACCAAGGTTTTTCTAACTGTAACCATATTGTGCCTCTTGATACTGACTATGGCTTGTGTATGACTGCTTGGAAGGGAAATAATCTCCTCATCTGTAATCTCCCCTCGGGCCACTTTGTCACTACTCTTTTTCAGGTCCACACATTCAGGGGGCCGCACTGGTGTGAATACTGTGCCAACTTCATGTGGGGACTCATTGCTCAGGGAGTGAGATGTGCAGGTAAGAGCTCTTCCCTTTTCGCCTGATTGTGTAAGTTATGAAGCTACAAGGAGTAACTCATGAGGAGCTTTGCTATTCTGCACATATAATGGGCTGGACCCCCGTTTGCTCTTAACATGCAACAGGCTGGATTTCTCAGGCAGCCAATTTGACTATTGATATTTTATCTGCCCTTCACCTTCTTGTACTTAATGGGCAGGAGTCTGGTCCTTTAAAAAGAGAGAAGTTGTCTTGTTCAGAAAGTCTGATAAAAGGAGATAAAAGTAAGGCAGTTATATTTGCCTTGCCTTTGATGTTGCAGCAACTAAATTTATAAGAATGATTTTTTTAAAGCAGTGTACAGGGACCTATGATTGTTGCCTTAGAAACTGAATTTTAAAGATAACTTGTTAAGCTGAATTGTCCTTACTAACTTTTGTGAAATCAAATTGAAGCTTTAAAAATCTGTGAATTTATCTTAAAAGATGATTACCAAATTCTGAAAAACCACTTAGTCACTAATATTTTGTTTGTGACATTTTAAAATCTTGAATATGCCATATCCTCTTTATAAAATATGACCATAGTATTTTAGATTTAAATTTAGAAACTTGAAGGTTTCCACATAAAGAAATAACCAACTCAGGGATTTATTGAAATGCTTTATGAAATAAGTAGTTATTCGCATAATGTGAAATTCATTTGTATAGAACAACTATACTGAGTACTGGCCACTTATTCAAACTGCTCTAAATTCTGGTATAGGCTTAAAAATAAGTATTTAAATTTCAGATGTGTAATGTTAGGTCATAGAAGTTTCTTTCTGCTATTTAAATTGTAAAACTAAAAAATACCTTCTTACATGTCTTTTTGCCTGAAGCTTAACTCTAAAAATGTATGTGAAGAGTAAAGTATTTCAAAATGGTAACTGAAGTAATTCTGTCAAATTTAGCACTGTAAAAATCCACATTTCTTTTGTGGCATGATTCCTAATGGAATATTTTCGTTGTCCATTATGTGCAGAAACTTCTGGGGTTTGATTTTTCTTATTTCTAAATTGCCTTTTCTTTGAATAGCAAGGTGTGGTATGCGTTGCATGTGAACGTTCCAAGTCGCCCTTCCTTCACTTATAACTCCCTTAGCACCACTAAGGCATGATAAGGTTCCAGGCATGTATCACTAGCTAGATCCATTCAGGGACCTCGCTGCCGTGAGGAGGGGGAAGAATTCCTCACGTCTTGACTTTGAACTGTGCAGAGGTGTCCGTCAAGGAGAGCCTCAGCTCAGAGCCAGTCTTATTCCTCCAACATCCTAGAGGGCTGACAGCCCCATTTGCAGTTCTCTGCCCAGAGAATAAATGAGGACAACATTGTCTTTCTGGCTGGTGGTTACCCAGAGTCAGGATGAGGACCCATCACTAGGAAGGTTGTGGTTGAGCCTTTGAACTGGAGGAAGGTTGTGGTTGAGCCTTTGAACGGAACATAGTCGTGTAGTTAAGAACATCCACATCGTTGTGGTGTTTCAAAGGCAAATGGAGTACCCTTTCCAAAGCACAAATCACCTGCACGAAGAATGGTCGTCTTCATAAGCCTGGTTTGCCTTTATGACATAGCCTTGACCAGCTGAGACTGCAACGGTTTCTTACACATTTTAAGACGGTCACTAATTCAAAAGCTTTTCTTTTACTAGAGTGATGATGTTTATCGTTTACATTTTGAAAGACTGAAGGCCATCTACATGGAAATTCTGAGTCAGCTATTAGCAGAGAACTAGCACAGCACATGTGAATAATCTTTGGCCATATGCTACAACCCCATATCATGTTTAGAAGAAATGTTTTGGAATGTTTATGATAGTGATAATGTGAAGGAAAAGAAGAAAGAAAATGATTCACCCCATCCCATAGCCACCCACTTGAATAGCCTCCACTTTTTATTGTGAGTAAATGTCAACAATGTAAAGAAAAGCCTTTTCATTTTATGTTATATCTTGTCTTCAAAAGCGTTATATTCTATGTGATTGGAACCCGATTACTGAGCAATATAAGAAGAAGTCAACCCATTTTTTTAAAATACGGAAGGTTAGGATTTGAATTACTTCTGTTTTCTATGACAGCTAATTACATTTAGATTGACGGTGGGATTCTTTCATCTGAAGTGGCTCATCCTGACCTTTGAGCCATCTACTTTATATAAAACAATGCAAAGAATTAAGAACTTCGAGAGAGAGAACTAACTGTGGTAGGGTGAACGTTGGCTCCCCAAAGATGTCTACTTCCTAATGCCTAGAACCTGTGACTGTTTCCTCTCATGGCAAAGGAGAGTCTGTGATTAAGTTAATGAAGTTGAGACGGGGAGATTACTGTGGACTGTCAGAGTGGCCCAGTGTAATGACGACCAAAGCGTCCCTGTAAGAGGGAGGCAAAAGAGGCTGAGTCAGATAAAAGGTATAAGAACAGAAGCAGAGGACAGAAAAGAGCAAAGATGCTATGCTGCTAGCTTTGAAGATGGGGGAAGGGGGCCATGAGCCAATGAATGCAGGCAGCCTCTGGAAGCTGGAAAAGGCAAGGCAAGAAACAAGATTCTCCCCTGGAACCTCCAGAAGGAGGTCTTAGGCTTGCTAAGGCCTTGATTTCAGTCCAGTGAAACTGATTTTGGGCTTCTGACCTCCAGAACTGTTAGATGACACACTCATGTTGTTTTAAACCACTGAGTTTACGGTTATTTGTTACAGTGGCAACAGGAGACTAATACATTAGCCACTAAGCATTAAAGCTTTTACTTCCAAAGAAAAATGGAAGTAACACTGCCTATCAGAAAAGAGATGTATTTATCTGCTTTTGATCCCTAAGACAGCTTGCTTTGTTCTGGCTTCTTTTTTCAAAATCCACCAAGGCAGAAGAGAGGTTGTCAGGAATTTTTAAAGGAATGTTTGCCAAAAGCAGCAGTTTTGTATCCCACCACCCCCCTCTTTTTTTTTTTTTTTTTTTAACATTATGCGAAGTGTTGGGTGATGTTCCAGTCACCAGGCTGGTGGCAGAGTAGCTGAAGGAATCAGACTGAATCCAGCTAATAGCAAGCAAGCTGTCCCTTCAGTACTGAAAGCTCTAGGCTTGCTCAACACCCACTGCTGACAAGGACAACTGAGGGAGCAGCAGGGACAGTCATGGGGATGCAGTCATTGCAGACATGATCTTCCCAAAACTCCACAACATGAGGTTCCACAGTCGGCATTAAACGTCTCACCTACCACAGTCTCCCTTACGTTAGGCTTCTTTAAAGTGAGTAAAATGATGTTGCAAGAGACCATCTAACTGCAGCTTGGGAGTGGTGCTCCTTTACGAGCAAAGTAAGTGGCCTTCAAAAGTTAAGTGCAAAGGATCATTGTCGTTCAGATGGAATAATTTTCCCAGACCATTTTTCCTTTCTTTATGAAATTTAAGCTTATAGGTTAAAGTAATCTATTATAAGATCACCAGACATCTCTCTCATGAAAAAGACCATTATTCCACCAGCATTCCTGAATTGTTTTCATTTTAGCCTTCCCAAAATATTCTAAGAAGTTAAGCCGGATAATAATTGTAAATCAGACACATCAACTTAGTGTTGGTTATTTATGAAAGTGACTTCATTTTTCCAGTGTATCATTATCATTGCTGCCGGCCCCCAAAAGGAAATGGCAGCAGTTTTTTTCCTAATAATAAAATGTATTTATTGCTTTGCGTATACAAGCACTTAACTTTTAGGTTGGAGAAGGGGAAGTAATGTCTTCGATTTTAATTACTGCTTTGATTGTACCTAAAAAGTTATGTTTGTCCTTGTAACCCAATGAGAAATTGGTTAGACTTGCTTACGACTTTCATGTAGCTCCTTTTAATTGAAAGCAATGTTTTCATAAATATCTCAAAGAACAAAGTATTCTTCTTAATTTTGCTTCTGAAAATAATGACTTCTGATGCATGTTAGAAATGGGCTAGTCCCACTTTTCCTGGGTGGGCGTGGAGGTGGAGGTAGGGACAGCTAAGAGACATGTTTTAAAATAAAACTTCTATTTGCAATTAATTTAAAATAGGAACACTCATAGAAAAGAATGAATGATTACCTTTCCTTTCAAAACACATTAACATTACCCCTTAATCCTATCAATAGAATATAAATAATATCAGCTATTTATTTCAAAAAATAGGTTTCTGTGCTTTTTAGATATAAAGCATGCATGTTTTTTAGAGAAATCAAGCCCAGAAAATCTGAAAGTAACCTCAAGTTAGTATTCTAATAGAAATACTTGATTAATAAGGACAGAATGAAATACGATTTGAATTTCTCATTCCTCCTTTCATGTGTTTATTCTGTGCTTATTAACTTGGAAGAATTGGGAGGGGGCAATGTGATTTAATTGTAACATAAAAATAACCCACCAAACCAAGAGATGCAACAAATGAGATAATCTTTTATGGTCTTTTTTTTTCACTTATACTGTAGAGCTTCCCTGGGAGAAACTGAACTCTATAGGAGTTATATGACTTTAATAAATAAGTATGAAAACCAAATAAAGTCTTAATGGCAACCTGAAATATTGATATATTGCTAGTCCCTGAAGCAGCAATTTTCAGAGCAAGCGCAGAGCTGGTATATTGCACTGTGAACTTAAGGGTATAACGATACTTCATTTTAATGCCTTTACCCTATCCTTTGGTCTTTTGAAGGACTTCATATCCGATTTTGCCAAAAAATTTGGCCTTTGAAATTTATTTCTAAAATTGAGCATAATATATTGTCCCATAGTTTAATCTTATCCAAATGTAAGAAAGAATATCAGTTTAGGAAACATTTCCCTTCTTGTTAAATACCTAAATCTGAGCTCAGTCATCTCTTTATCCAGTTTTCACTGAGTCACAAATAAATTAGGCATTTGCTGATGTGTAAAATGGGAGAGAACTGCAAACGTTCAAAGGAAAAACATTAATATTAGTATCAGACCATTAGTGCCATTCAGATGTTTTGATATTCTGTGGATGCATCTAAATTTTACTGTTTTACCTTCTAGTGGATTTCCACTTACTTAGGAAAGAATGTGACAAAACAAGAATATAATGGGTAGGTTTTATCGCTGCTTTTTAAAAGTGCTTGCCAAATCACATATAGATTTCTGTAACAGTAAAATACAGCAGAGCCTTTTAAACTCAAGTATATACAACAAATAATAGGTACAACATACATTATTGAATAAGAGGTTGAAAATAGCAAGTTCATCTTCAACCCTGAAAACAATAACTCAGCGTACATGGTGTACTGCTGGTGAAAAGTGGTATATATATCACTCAGTGGGACGAGCACAGGCTGGGAATTAGGAAGCCAAGGTTGAAATCTCAGTTCTACCAGTTTCTGGCTGAGCAACTTGAACAAGTCATTTAGCCTCTCTGAGCTTCGTTGTCTTTGTGAAAAGAAGACACTGGGGTAGGTTGTTACTAACAGCCATTTCCAGCTGGACCTGTGACTTCCGTGTACACAGAATATGAGGCACATCAACATTATTTTTAGATAATGAAGCTCTGCTGACTTTTATACTTTTAAAATATTATGTAAGAGTTCTTCCAGTTCTAGACAAGTTGAATAAATATGTTTTATTCCTCACAATAATGATAACAAAAGACCCTGGGCAGAATATATACATCAATTATCGAAAGACTGAAAGTTGGGTAAAAGAAGGAAGGCTGATTAGGGACCTCAGGACTCAAGGAACCCAGAAGCGAGTTGCCTGGTGGTATTTTGGATTTTGGGGTTTTTTGAAACTCCTGTGTATCCCAGCCTGAGCATTAAAGATACCCACAACCCATAAATGCCAATAGGCACAGACAAATCCCAAGAAAAGCTGGCTCTTCCTAGCCAAAGCCCTGGGAAAAGGGCACCCAAGCCGGACAGAAGTCTTTTAGCCGTATCTACCATTCTCCAGGTGAACACCATGATAAAGCCACATTGCTACCCCTACCCACGGACTTCTGCTGGATGCTGCAGCAGAAGGCTGTGGGTAGAACCCTATTTTCCATCCCACTCTGCAGTAACAAGGTTGCACTTCTCTCCTGTGAGTCTGTGAGTAGAGCCCTGTCTTCCATCACCATCTTGCAGGAAGAAAGTGGAACCCCTCCCTGGCTGAGACTGTGGGTGGAACCCTGACTTTCATTCCCCCCCCCCCCCCCCTATAGTAGAAGCAGCACCCACTCAGCCCAAGTCTACGGGCAGAGAGCCCTGTCTTCATCCCTGACCTGCAGTAATGAGGCAGCTGAGACCATGATCGGAACTCTCTTCCGTGCCCACCCTGCAGTTCCATGCAGCACAGCACTCCTCCCCGACCAGGTTTGTGAGCAAACCCTGACTTCCATCCCTACCCTGCAATAATAACTAGGACATGGCCCTTTTCCCTCCCCAGAATGTAGGGTAGAGTCCTGCCACAAGATACATGTTTGGTAGGCAAAATAGCACTGCAGTAGCATTACGAAGGCTTTGTTACCTAGTTTGACATTTGAAACACAGCCTATGAAAGTATGCCAGGATTTGCATTCTAAATCTAAACAGGTTAACTACCTGCTAAAGTTGAAAATTTCAGTAGGAACCAGAGTCTTATAACACTCAAAATATCCAGGATGCAGTTCAAAATTACATTTCATACCAAGTACCAGGAAAATCTCAACTCAGATGAAAAAAGATAATCAACAGTCGCCAATATTGAGATGACAGAGATGTTGGAATTATCAGACAAGGAAAGCAGCTATCATAAAAACGTTCCAAGAAGCAATTAGAAACACTCTTGAAACAAATGAAAAAATAGGAAATATCAGAAAAGAAATAAAGATATAAGAAAGAACTAAATGTAAATTTTAGAACTGAAAATTTTATTAACAAATAAACCCACGGGATGGGCTCAATGGTAGATACAATATGTCAGAGGAAGGAATCTGTGAAGCTGAAGATAGATCAGTAGATATTATCCAATTCAAATGAGAGCAAAAATAAGATTTTTAAAAGTGAACTGAGCTTCAGAGACCTGTAGAACAGAAGATTTAGCATTTGTGTTGTTGGAGTCCCGGAAGAGGATAAAGAGTGAGAGGGTGGAAGATATTTGAAAAACTGGTGGCTGAAGACTCCCCAGATTTGGTGAAAGCAGTCAGAGAAAAATGATGTACCTATTTGGAGGTATGTTTATGTAAATGAAGTGTATAAAGAACAGTGTAGATGAGGAAGCAGCTATAACCCCAGCATCCAAGTCCTTTTCAGGACCTGGCATTCACATCTGACGAACACAGAATTGGCCTAGAAGTCAGCTTAGCTCCTGACCTTAAGCTGATTATGACAATGCCTTACAGTGAACCCTGGGGCACTACCTAGGAAAGGCCTCTCAAAATGTTTCATTCTTCTAAATAATAACAGAGTCATGGTAAACAATTACAATTTACTATGTGTAAGCATTTTATGTGTATTAATATGAAAGCCTCACATTAACATAATAATAGAACCTAATAATAGATCTACTATTAATGGATAAATACTATTATTATTCCCATTTTATATAACTGAGGCACAGAAAGTTTAAGTAACCCCCTCAAAATCACACAGCTAATAGATTCTAGATCTAACTCTAAATTACGGAAGTTATACAAAACATTAAAATGTCAGGGGAAATGAGGTCCTTTAAGTGGCCATTGCCATTGAGTTGCCTTATGATTGAATCAGAAATCTTATTTATATCTAATATAGAATAAAGAGGAATTTGGGGTTCAGGTTATGTATTCATTTGGACATCATTTAACTACACAGAACAGTGTTGGGTCATTTCTTCAGATGGTACAGATTCAGCTCCTTGCCCTGGCAGCTTTACGTATTCAAAGAAGCACCTGTTCTTCTTCAGTGATGACGATGGTTGGACACTATTAGCATGGGCTGTGCCATCGCCAGTGCTGTTCACTTACACACACATGTTCAAAGACTCAGCTTCCCTCGACACCTAGCCTGTTTTTGCACATGGGAGGTGCTCAGTACACATGACTTCTTCCCTTAGAGTCACCACAAATCTTAAGGTCTTTTTTCAAGTTGGTAATATCTACATATTTAATGAAAGAACAATTCTATTTATAAGTTTTGGCTAATTTTCCTTGTCTTTGTTAACTGTTACTGCCATATATATAACTAGATTTCAGCTTTACCAAAAGTCATAATAATGATGATGATCATCGGTATTTGTCTAACATTTTATAATATGCAAATCACCTCGAATGCATTGGCTTATTAATTCTCATAACAATTCTGTGAGGTAAATGTTATGCTCCCGTTTCTGCCCAAACAGCAAGCAAAACTGAAGCTTGCCCAAGGACCACAGACAGTGGTCGTGGGACTGTATGGTTTTCAAATCCATTAAGACCTGGCTATAAATTGTGTGTACCTCAGTTGGATTGGATTTATGGGAGGTCAGCATCAAGTTTTCATGAACTTAAAAACAAACGGGTAATATTTTAAACAGACATAAAGGTGACATTTATTTTTAGTTAAATTATTCGGGTATGGTCCATGTCTCTTAGGTCCAATTTAGCAAAATATTTGTATCCCTCTCTATTTCTTCTAAAATGCCATTGTGCTCTTCTTGTTGAAAATAAAATACCTCAAAATATTAACTAGAAAATATTTGGGTTCTGGCATCTTAGAAGCTATAACCCAATAAAATGACAAAGCAAAGGAACAACTTCAGTAGAGGCAATATGGTATAGGTGTTAAAATCGTGGACTCTACAATCGTTGTAGCCTTGAATTTCAGCTCAAATGTACTAAATGCCATGGGTAAGTTACTTAACACGTACGTGCTTGGTTTCATCAGGTTTATGAAAGAGAAGAATAAAAGTACCTGGTTTATAGAGTTTTCTGTAAATAATGTAAAGCACTTGGAATAGTGCTTGGCATTAGTCAGCTGTTGATAATAGAGTAACAAATAATAACTGTGGCTATTTTTAGCTACTAGATGTATTCTATATTCATTATCTTATACATATATAAAAAGAGTTAGGAGTAGATACACATATGAGCAGCATCAACTTAAGAGGGCCCTGGGATACTCTTACTTTTGGAGGTTCAATTCCACCTCATATCAGATTTATTAAAATGCAGTTATATCTACATTGAATATAATTTTTTATATAACTTTAAAGAAATGGAACTTTAAATTTTTAGTTGGCTAGTTGGTGTAATGTTACATTTTGTAGACATTTAATTGAACACTTACTAATTTTGTTTGGCCTGGGTTGGTATTCTCCTGAGACCATACAGCAAGTAAATGACGGAACATGAGCTAGAATTCTAGTCTTCTAACTTAAAATCAGAATTTTCCTAAAGAATGAGAAGAATGTTTCCCCCACTCTGCCGGCTGGAAGCTAGTCCCCTTTTAAACCTAATTCAAGTTGGAGTGTCTTGCCAAAATAAACCTCCAGAATGCTCAAAATTCTGAAAATAATAATGAATTTTTCCTTTCTTTATTCTTTAGATTGTGGATTGAATGTTCATAAGCAGTGTTCCAAGATGGTCCCAAATGACTGTAAGCCAGACTTGAAACACGTCAAGAAGGTGTACAGTTGTGACCTGACAACACTCGTGAAAGCCCACATCACTAAGCGGCCCATGGTGGTGGACATGTGCATCAGGGAGATTGAATCTCGAGGTGAGGCGTTTCCAGCAAGGTTCAGAGCAGTCGTAACTCACTGCACAACCAGGTTTTCTTCTGCAAGTTTAGGGGGAATTATTTCAGATAACAAATGATCTGAAAGTCTGAAATCAGTTAACAGATAATTAACCAGCATGATTTCAAGGTACATTTAACCAGTTATAAAAAATATGCTTAAAATATATTTATGGTTGATGCTTCCTGTCTGTAAAAGTTGATATGTAGGTACCAATTCATTTTTCAGTTTTTATATTTTTTCTTAGGTCCAAAAAGCAAAGGTATAAATGCTCTGTTTAAAACTATCCTAGGCCAAAAAACCAAAAACCAGAACTGCATGCACCCTAATTATTCTTTGCCACTTGGGAAAAACTGCTATATGCCTATTAATATAGTTTATCTTAGTCTTCCGTTATGTAAAAGAAATTATGGTGTAAAGGGGGTGATGAAATAATTTCCCTTAAGACCTAAGGTATTTGATCTAGTTAGGCAAAATGATGAGCCAAATTACAGATATTCAAGTCACAGTAGGTCAGAATTAAAGAACTGTGAGTGAAATGGTTTTATTTTAGGAGAAAAGTGCGAAGAGGTTTCTAAACATGTATATTTCATCATTCTTCCTGACACATTACTTCCCCAGCCTAAAGTATGAGAAGTTAAAATTTGAAGAAGAGGCATAATCCCAAAGAAACTAATTAGCTTCCCTGCTTTATTTCTACAGGTCTTAATTCTGAAGGACTGTACCGAGTCTCAGGATTTAGTGACCTAATTGAAGATGTCAAGATGGCTTTTGACAGAGGTGTGTTTTCCAGCAGGTTCATTAACTTAGGACAATAATTCTCTGCCAAAAAAGGCACAATTTCTTATGTTATTCTTTCCATTATTTTTCTAAATCATTAATGATTATTATGCCAAATGAAAAGACTTAGCTTATAATTTTTATTATTTTTTGTATTAGTTGTAAGTATTAAACTGTTAAATTTCAGGGTGAGAAATAAGCATAAAATTTAACTGTATTACCAACATTTGAGTATCCAAGCCTGATCCACGTTCACCAAAATGTATATATAGCAGTTAAATTTACCAAGAACCATGGAGAAAACAGTGGAGGTGGATGTAGGGGAGGGAATCTAAGTCATTGCAGATCTCAGATTTTCCAGGTTTGCGGTGGCCCACCTAACTCTGCCTGCCGTGCATGCCTCCCCGGCATCTCGTTATCAAAGTCTGAGCTCATGTCAGGGCAGGAATCTGAGAGGAACTGGGCATCAGACCTCCCACTGTGGGAGGAAGGAGCCAGCCAAAGAAGAGCTCAATGGGACTTCTTTTCTTTTAACTAACGTTTAAATTAAGGTTTGTTGCCATGGTTCTCCAATTTGTCTTTGTTTTGAGCACTGGAGTAGGTGGTACCAAGGAACTGTAAACTTGAATACAGGAAGTGAAACAGAATAGGAGTTGTGATTGTAAAGAACCTCTTTCCTTTGCAAGTACAAATTTCTAGTTCCATTACACTCCCCTCCCATCACAGACTTCTTACAGCCAACAGAGACAGAAGACAAAATAAATGAGATATTATTACCAACCCAGTAGGAGGAAATCTAGGTCAGCCCACATATTTGATAAGATTGAAGAAAATGACATGAAGTAATGGCATCAGGAACAACCCTGAATCTATGCCAGATTGAATGTTAGGCATTTCTTTTTCTCTGAAAGGTAGCAACTGAGCATGTCCATTCCCAGCCACTGGCCATGGGAGATTTTCCATATAATCCCTCCTCTCCTGCCCCTGCCCATAGTTTCCTCTGTTAACATCTCTCATTCATACGGTACATCTGTTATAATTGATGAGCCAACATTGATACCTTATTATTGACTAAAGTCAATAGTTTACATTAAAGTTCACTTTTTATGTTGTACAGTTCTGTGGTTTTTGGCAAATGCATAACATCATGTATCCACCATCACAGTGTCATACAGAACTTTCACTACCATAAAAATCTCTACGTTCTACCTGTTCTTTCCCTTCCTCCCCTGAACTCCTGGCAACCACTGATCTTTTTACTGACTCCATAGCTTTGCCGTTTCCATAGTATCATATAGTTGGAATCATACAGTATGTAATTTTTTCAGGCCAGCTTCTTTTACTTGGCAACACGTATTTAAAGTTCCTCCGTGTCTTTTCATGGCTTGAGAGCTCATTTGTTTTTATCACTGAATAATATTCCTTTGTCTGGATGTACCACAGTTTCTCTGTTCACTAATTGAAAGACCATCTTGCTTCCATTTTTTTGGCAATTATGAATAAAGCTGCTGTAAACATTTGTGTGCAGGTTTTTGTGTGGACAAAAGTTTTCAGCTCCTTCAGGTAAATACCAAGGAGTGTGATTTCTGGATTATATGGTAAGCATTTGTTTAGCTTTGCAAGAACCTGTCTGTCTTCCGAAGTGGCAGTTCTACTTTGCATTCCCACCAGCAACCAAAGAGAGTTCCTGGGGCTCCACATCCTTGCCAGCATTTGGCATTATCAATGTTCTGGATTCTAGCCATTCTAACAGCTGTGTAGGAAAGAAGTTGCTTTTTTTTTTTTTTTGAATACATGTTTGTTTTTTTTTAACATCTTTATTGGAGTATAATTGTTTTACAATGGTGTGTTAGTTTCTGCTGTATAACAAAGTGAACCAGCTATACATATACATATATCCCCATATCCCCTCCCTCTTTTATTTATTTATTTTTTTTGCGGTATGCGGGCCTCTCACTGTTGTGGCCTCTCCTGTTGCGGAGCACAGGCTCCAGACGCGCAGGCTCAGCGGCCATGGCTCACGGGCCCAGCCGCTCCGTGGCACGTGGGATCTTCCCAGACCGGGGCACGAACCCGTGTCCCCTGCATCGGCAGGCGGACTCTCAACCACTGTGCCACCAGGGAAGCCCTCCCCTCCCTCTTGC